CCTTTAGAGACAAAGTTCTCGAGGGTAGCGGCAAAACGGGGACTGGCCGAAGCCGAACAACAGCAGCAGCAGCAGCAGCAACAACAGCAGCAGCAGCAGCGGCAGCAGCAGCAGCAGCAGCAGCAGAAGCAGGCTCCTCACCACAACGAAAACGAAAGCATTGTCCCCCTCCGCTCTTAATTGCTGCTGTTTTGCTGCTCGGCCTGCGGCGCGCAGCGCAGCAGCTGCTGCAGAATAAATTTGTGTCTTTGCCCTTCCTCAAATATGCATGCACAAATGCACGCAAAAGTGCATGCAAAAATGCATGCAAAAGTGCATGCAAAAGTGCATGCACAAACGCATACAAAAGTGCATGCAAAAATGCATGCACAAATGCATCCAAAAGTGCATGCAAAAATGCATACAAAAGTGCATGCAAAAATGCATCCAAGAATGCACGAAAAAATGGATGCAAAAATGCATGCAAAGGTGCGTGCGCAAATGCATGCAAAAACGCATGCAAAAGTGCATGCAAAAGTGCATGCACAAGTGCATACAAAAGTGCATGCAAAAATGCATGCAAAAATGCATGCATAACTGCATGCAAAACTGGATGCAGCAAACCCAGCAGAAAAATTCTGAGAGAAACGAATTAACGCAAAACTCCAAGAGTTAGCAGATGCCACATTCAAAGCACCTCCAGCAGCAGCAGCAGCAGCAGCTGTTCCCGCTGCTGCTGCTGCTGGAGCAGCAGCAGCAGCTGCTGCTGCTGCTGCATCAGTTTTCAACACAAACAGCCTGTAGCAAGACAGGCTGCAGCACCGGCCTATGCGTTGACTTGTTTTAATTACTCTTAAAAATGAAATACTAATTAATCATCTTTGTTCTTAAATAAAATATCATTTATTTATTCTTTAAATGCTAATTATTTATTTTTGTTTTTAAATAAAATGCTTCAGAGCTTTTCTCCAAAGCTGCGGGCAATTTGCTGCTTCCCCATTTGCCCCCTGGCAGCCCAGATGCTGCTTCCGTAAACCCTCATCTAGGGTTTAGTAAACCCTAATGAGGGGTTTAGTAAACCCTCACTAGAGGTTTGGTAAACCCTCATGGGGGACTTTAACAAACCCTCATCAGGGGCCTTAATAAACCCTCATGGAGGGTCTAACAAACCCTCATGAGGGCCCTTAATAAACCCTCTTTCAGGGTTTAATAAACCCTCATTCGGGGTTATAAACCCTCGTTAGGGGCTCCAATAAACCCTCATGAGGGGTCTAATAAGCCCTCATGAGGGGCTTCAAGAAACCCTCATGAGGGGTTTAATAAACCCTCATGAGGCGCTTTGATAAAACCCTCATCAGGGGTTTAATAAACCCTCATTAAGGGATTTGATAACCCCCCATAGGGGGGTCTAATAAACCCTCATGAGGGACTTTAATAAACCCTCATGAGGAACTTTAACAAACCCTCATGAGGGTTTAATAAACCCTCATGAGGGGTTTAATAAACCCTCATGAGTGGATCGATAAACCCTCAAAAGGGGTTTAGTAAACCCTCATGAGTGGATCGATAAACCCTGATGAGAGGTTTAATAAACCCTCATGAGGGGTTTAATAAACCCTCATAACGTGTTTAACAAACCTCTCAAACCCCTCCGCCATATTTGTGAATTCAACTTCTTCCCTCTGGGGTGTACGTACACCCCAGTGGCCCCACAGTCACCCAGTCTTCTTCAGTCTTTCGGCTCTGAATTAAAATAAAACAAAATAAATGTTTTTGCGATTCGAGACTTTGCTGCTGCTGCTGCAGCAAAAGAAACCTTTTACCCAGCAGCAGCAAATGCCTTCAGATTGTATGGCTGTCTCTTCAAGCCACAGACAGAGCCAAGGAAGCACGGCAACAGCAGCAGCAGCAGAAACAACTGCAGCAGCAATTGCAGCAGCAACAGCAGCATCAGGAGAAACGCCGCAACAGCAGCAGCAGCAGCAGAAACTGCGACAGCAACAGCAACAGCAACAGCAGCTGCTGCTGCTGCTCAACAGCAGCAGCAGCAGCTGCTGCTGCTGCTGCAGCTGCTGCAGTTCCGACTCACAGGATCCGCTGGACTTCTGCGTCGGCTGTCGGCATAACGCGGACGCCCCCAACCACTGGTGACCTGAAAATGAAAAAAAGGAAAAAAGAAATCTAAATTAAATTCCGTTTCTGAACAATTTTGGAATTTGAATTTAAAGTAAATTAAATTCCGTCAAAATCCAACTTAGTTCCCCAGAAACATAAACGCAACTCCAATCTCCTTTTTTCCCGAGAAAGAATCTAAGAGAAATCCAACTTCACTCCCCAGACGCAGCAACAGCAGCAACAGCAGCAGCAGCAGCAACAACAGCAGCAGCAGCAGCAACAGCAGCAGCAGCAACAGCAGAAGCAGCAGCAGCAACTATAACAGCAGCAGCAGCAGCAGGCTGCGGGCTGTGGTCGCTTACGGCCCTGCGCCGGGCGGGCCACCGTAGGGCCTTGGAGAAGAGCCTGCTGCTGCTGCTCCTGCTGCTGCTGCTGCTGCTGCTGCTGGGCTTCCGCCAGCCCCCACTGTGCCGCTTCCTTCATAGACAGGAGCTGGCTGGGTATTCAGCTTTCGCCCTCTGCAGACAAAAGCCCTTTTTAATTATCAAATTTAAAAGTAAAATTAAAATTTGAATCAAATTAAAATCAAACTTAAATTTAAAATCAAAACTGCTGCGTGCATGCAGGGCGCAGCAGCTGCAGCAAACTCTTACGCGTCAGCAGCAAGAGCAGCAAGCCCCGAAAGTGGAATGCTGCAGCAAAAGACACAGCAGCAGCAGAGCATGCAGAATGAGCAAAAGCCCCGAAGCAGAATAGTTTAATCAAATTGAAAGTTGAATTAAAAGCTGAATTAAAAGTTAAATTTAAATTAAAATAAATGCTGAATTAAGAAGAAATTGAAAAGAATTAAGGCGAGCAGCTAATGGGCATGTTGCAAAGCCAGCGGCAAACTGTTTGGCTTCAGGTGTCTATACACCCGAAGTGTACGTACACTGGCCGCGGCGAACGGGGAGCTTCACTGTCACTCTTATTTTTTTGATCTGCTGCAGCTTCTGGGGGCGCAGCAGCAGCAGCAGCAGCAGCCTCGGGGGAGCTTCCCTCGGGCTGGGGCGGCTGTGGGGCGAGTTCTGGGGCCCCCATTGCGGTGTACGTACACCCCAAGAGTCCCGCGGCCTCCCCAAACGCCCCAGAGCCTCCCCTGCAGACACGCAGCAACGGCAAGGCCCAGGGGGCCCCCGGGGGCCCTCAAATCGAAGAAAAGGAGCTTCAAATGGCACTAAATGGCGGACAAAGAGGGACTTGGAACTCAAGTTGCACACACAGAAAGCTGAACTGAGGGACCCCTGGCTCCGCCGCCCACTTCGCTGGTGTGCAGAGCCCGAGGGGCCCGCGGGGCCAAAAGCTGGGCAGTTTGGCTTTGCGGCGAGAGGCTGCAGCAGCAGCAGGGGGGGCGATCTGCAGCGTTTGGGCGCGCCAAATAGCCCCTTTGCCTTTCAATTAACGCCTTTTAGGCTTTAATTCAATTATAGATAAAAAAAGAAACTTAATCGCGGAGAAGAAGCGGCGAAATGCGCGCTGGCTCGATGGCTAGCAGGTGTGCCGCTGCGGGCCCCGAGAAAGGCCACGGGTTTCCCCCTGATATTCTAGCAGTGCACCACCAAAAGTTGAATTCAAACTTCTTTTAATTTGCATTTAATAAAAGTGTCTGCATTCAAACTGAACTGCAGCCCGCAGCGCCTCCTCAAAGCTCCCTGTACACCCGAAGACCACCGGTGAAACGCTGGTCTTGAGGATATGACGGAGGCAGCAGCAGCGGCTTGGGGGCGATTTAGAGAATTCAACTTTGAATTTATTTTATTTTCCAATTCTCCATTTGAATTTCTCTTTAAATTTTCTAAAACTTAAAGAGGAATTAAGCGAGGGCTGCAGATAGCCGGGCTGTGTTCTCCGTGCTATGCTCACTGCGCCAAACTGAGCGCCCCCAGCTCGCGTGTCTGCCCAGCTGAACAAGCGGGGAAATTAGACGAATTTTCTCTAATTAAATTCAATTAAGTCTTTTTGTTATTTATTTATTTGCTGAAGGCCACGAGAGAGGCCAGCAGCAGCAATTAGCGGCGCATTAGAGGCAAATTCCAGAAAGTTGAATTTGCTTCCGCGCGAATCGGAATGAAATGAGCCAGGATTCACGCGGCTGTGAGACCTATTTGTGCAATCTTTTGGCCTTTCTGCATTTTATTTTCATTTTATTTTCGTTTTATTCTCATTTTATTCTCATTTATTATTTTATTGAAGCCTCAATTTAAATTTAAGATGAGATATCCCGCACGCTGGCTGTTTCTGCAAGTCGCTGTCGCCGGATGCGCCTTTGACTTGTTCAGATCGGCAAGGTAGAAGAACTAAGAAAAAATAGATAAACAAAATGTAATAATAATAATAACAATAATAATAATAATAATAATAATTATTATTATTATTATTATTATTATTATTATTATTATTATTATCATTATTATGCAATAATCGTAATAATAATAACAGTGATATTAATATTAATAATAACTATAATATAAAAATAATAATAATAATAATAATATAGTAATAATAATAAGAATAGTAATAGTAATACAATAACAACAACAACAATAATATTAGCAACAACGTAATACTAAATAATAATAATACAATAACAACAATAATCGTAATATAAATAATAATAATAATCATCATCATAATATAATGATAATATAATAACAATAATAATAGCAATAATGAAAATAACAACAGTGATAATAATAATAATAATAATAATGATATAATGGTAATGATATAATAATAATAATAGAAATAATAATAAAAATAATATAAATATAAAGATATAAAAATAATAATAGAAATAATAATAATCATAATATAATAGTAATAATAATAATTTCTTGAATATCTGCATCTGCATGCAGCAAAAAGATATGACGCAGCACTGCTGCTTCCGAAGTTTCATTTGTTGCTGCTGCTGCTCATTTTGAGTTCAATTATTACTTTTATTTTATTTTTAGTTTGTTTTGTTTTAATTTTTATTACTTTATTTTATTTCAATTTTAATTACTATTATTTTAGTTCGGCATTTCAGTTCAATTTTAATTACTTTCATTTTATTTTAATTTAAATTCGTGTGTTTTAATTTAAATTACTTCTATTTAATTTCGATTGTAATTACTTCTATTTTAGCTAAATTATAATTACTCACATTTGATTCTAAATTACTCTAGCTACTTTTTTTCTATTTCAATTACAATTACTTTCATTTTAATTTAAATTACTTTTATTTTAATTTTAAAATATTCCCTAATTGGAAATAAAACATTCATAAATAAAATGTGAATCCCCAGCAGGTCACACTTGCAAACTGAAAAGTAAATATGTAAAAAGAAAATTAAAAATTTTAAATGTTGCCAAAAAACAATTTCAATTTTAAATTCTTTTTTCAAAATCTCAACTTTGAAAAAGTGGATTTTCGATTTCCGAAGAAGGGAAATTAGAAGTCCCAGAGTCCCATATCCAGGGAGAGATCAATTACAAAAAGTACAAAAAAAATAAAGAAATGGATCTCTTTAAATTTCCAAAAGTTTGATTTCATGCCAAACATTCTCTTAAAAAAAGAAAATAAGAAAGAAAAGGAGCTTTTAAATTTCCAAAAGTTTGATTTCATGCAAAACTTAAAGCCCTTAGAAAAGCTGCATGCGTTTTTTTGCAATTCAGAAAATCTGAGAAATTCAGAAAAGCCTTTTTGACTCAAAAGGCCTCCAGACTTGTTAATGGAAAAGTCTCTTTTTGGACTTTTTAAAAAGCCTTTTTGGACTTTTATGAATGCAAATTAGTTGCTTATTTTGCTGCCATTGTGGCTTTACTGGAGTGCTATTAAAGTCCGCTTCTAGTGGAGACTTTGAGGCAAATTTTCGTTTATTTTTGCGTTAAAAAACAATTAAAATGCAAAAAGTTGAATTTTGAAATATTCATCTGCTGCTGCAGGGCAGCCAGAGAGGCCGCTGGGCCCTCTGGCTCGCAAGCCATTACTGTCTTAGTGGCAAAAGGCGTAGAGAGCTTCTTTTGTTTTCCCTTTTTCGAGAATGCAAGTGCCATTAAAATGGGGAAAAGAAAGAGTTAAGTGCCCCACTCTGCATTGCTCGAGCTGTAACGAAAACAGAAATGGGAAATAATTCATTTAAATGCATCTTTTCATGTGGCTAACTCCGAAAGTTGTGAGAAAGCGAGAAGTGGAAAACGCCCACCAAGGGGGAATCCGCAGCTAAGCAGTGCCCCAGCCCGCAGCGTCCGGGCCGCGAAATATCAATTTAGATGGACCAAAAAAGTGGAAATAAAAACAAAAATGATATTTGAATAAGGCTGGAGCATATAGTTTTTTCGAATCATTTCAGTGCAGCCTCCGGTGTACGCGCAGACCCCACTGCGCAGCTGGCGGCGGAGTTCAGGACTTCGTGCAAGCCACGGGGCTACACACAGGGCATTCCGCAGCTTTTTTGAAAGCAAAACAAAACAAAAATAAAAAGACTATTTTGTATTTGCAGAGATTCTCTCAAGTTGCGGACTTTGCAGGTTCAGATCCGGTTGACGTGCGCATGCAGCTTGTCTGCGTGGGACTTCAGCGGCGCCGGCGCCCCAGCCACTCAGCAGAATAGGCGAAAGCGCTCCGTTTTATTTTGCGTTTAGTTCAGAAGAACATTTGCATGCGGAGAAGTCCGAATTGGTGGAGTTTCCGCGGCTTTCTGTTTCGCAGCGGATCCGGAGCGGCGGCTCCGGCTGTCTGGACAGCAAGACACTGCGGCTTCGCGCCGGAAGCTGCACTCTGGCGGTCGTTGGAAGCAGCAGAAGTTTCCCGAAGTTCTTTTTGCCCATTCGGCGCACTTTTGGGCCCGCAGCGCCGCAAAGCCGGGCCTTCCCCGTGCCGCTGCCGCTTCTGCTGCTGCTGCTGCTGCTGCTGCTGCTGCTGCTGCTCAAGATGGCGCAGGACACGGCCAGCGCCATTCTCAAGGACGAGGAGGCCCTGGGCCTTCGCGAGGAGAAGAAGACTCAGGACTTCTCCGCGGAGGCCGACGCGCTCATCCAGCGCATGGAGCGCGCCCGCGAGGCGAGTCGCCCCCCCTCGGGGGCCCCCCTGGGCCCCCCGGGGCCCCCTGGGGCGCCCGGGGCGCCACCGAAGCCCGCTGCCCGCCCCAGAGCCCCCTGGGCCCCCCTGGGCCCCCCTGGGCCCCCCTGGGGCCCCACCGAAGCCCCCTGGGCGCCC